CCCGTGCTCGCGCGCGCCAGAATCACCCGAGCCTGCCGCGCGGCAGCGAACAAGCTCGAAGCCCCGCGGCAAGGTTTCGAAGTTGAGCCAAAATGGCTTGAGCCAAAATTGCTACGGTGGAGGAGGGGGTGGAGGAACAGATAGGGTTGCGGGGGTTGGTGGTATCGAGAAGGTTGGCATTGCGGCAATGAGAAATGCGAGCGGGCTCTTTCCCTTTTCGCATATGCGTTTGCGCGCGCCGCCGTTGGGGTCAAACGGCAACATTACATCTGATCTGAATCGGGGCTGTGCGGGCGAACGAACAGTTTTGACGGACCGACGGGGGCGATGCAAATGAAGCCAAACATGCCCAAACGCTTGGCACTTTCCCAACACGGCAAGGATCTTGCGCCGCCATCTGGCCAGAAGGCGTCGGAACGGTACTCGGGAGTTGCTGATTTGACGCGCGCGTGAGTGGCGCGAGCCTGCCCGCGCCGCGCCCATGTTTGCATGGGGGCTCGGAGCGGCGGGCGCGTGGTCCGAAAGACCGCGGCAGGATGCGCGGCGAGGTCTCGCTCGGAGTCGCGTCGAATGAAGATGGGGACCGGGACCTTGACCAGGTAGCGCGGGAGGCAGGGGGCAAGGAAGGGTGGATCGTTCGGGTGCGCGACGCGCTCGCACTGCCGCCTAGGTCTCCAGGGCGGGACCTCCGTCGAGGTCGCTGGTCGAACGCGCCTCTGGCGACTTCTTGCCTTCCTGCTCCTCTGCGGGCCCTTCGGTATCTGCCGGCTCCTCGGCAGCTGTCGGCTCCTCGGGTGGCGAGCTTGGCGCAGCGGCGCGGCCGGCGGCGCCCTCCTTGCGGCGCTTGCCCTTCTCGCCGCGTCTCCTTGTGTCCTTCGTGTTGGGCTCCGCAGTCGCGTCGTCGCCCTTGCTCTTGCATCTGCTCTTGGATTTGCCGCTGCCCTTGGCCATGGGGTTCGCGGCCGAAGGGCCCCGCAGGGGCCGCGGGGCTCGTTCCGCGGCGGAGCGTCGGAGAGCCGGGGTGCCCCGTGAGGGCCCCTCGACGCATTGCGGGCCAAGGGTTGAACGCTGCTCAGCCTCCGCGGGGGAGGCATCAACCGCTGCCGTGGTGCCCCTCCTCTTTTCTCCGTCTTGTCTGCGCTGCCTGTTCGAAGACGTCGAAGACCACGGCCAGGTCCTAGTGCCTTCACATGGGGCGCGGACCGCGCCCGCTGGCCGCAGGATCTGGATTCGCCGCCGCCCAGGGGGGGCAGCTCGCGACTGCGCAAGTCCAGGATCGCGCGCGTGGACTCCGGGCTTCGGAAGCTCAGTAGTCCACTCAGGTCGCTGCCTGTTCCTCTGGCGATGGGCGCTGTGAAGCTGTGGATAATGGCTCGGCGCTGGTCATCCGCAACGGCCGGGCGCCACCTCCTTGGGTGCCCAAGGGCTTGGTCACGAGGATTTGCCGTGGCCGCTGCCCTGCCGCGACGGCGCGTCGGCATGGCTGGCGCGCAAGCGACTCCCCCGTCAGCGGCTGCAGCATGTCAAAGTGGCGCGCTCGTTGGCGGGCCACCAAGGGTAAGTTTCGGCTACGCCACTCTGTGGTAAGCCTGGTGGTGGCTACTGCCCCCGCGTGGATGCTGGCGTGCTGAGCGCAAATTCCTGTACATTTGCGCCCCCTGAGGTGTGGTCGGTGCCTCTTCGGCAGGTGCTGCTGATCGAGGTGTGGGACCAGCGTGGATGCGCGCGACCTCTCGTGACGCGTTGGGCCTTGCACGAAGGGCGCTCGCGCCTGGTCGCCTCGCGACTGGGCCTTGACGGCCAAAGGCCGAAACATGTTCAGACTCGTGGCGGCCCAGGCGTCGGCACAGCTCTGATGGCACCGGTGACCGCGCTGCATGATAATGCGAGCATTCAGTCAGAGTGCACATCCAGGCATGCGCCACACAGAGTATATCCAGTCCGATTCCAGGTCTTCAAGCAGGGCGGTGGTTCTGCTGCTGGCGGAGCCGTCGCGACTAAGCTGTTCATGCGCTAGGCCTGCTGACGGCGGCGAGCGCGGCGTTGTTCCATCTGAGAGTCTTGCTCGGTCTCAAGATCTGCCAAGGCAGATAGTCGTGTCGCAACACCAGGGGCTAGGTCGTGGTCGTGTGCTACGCTAATTTCAAGAGGAAAAAAACACATAGACACAATTAATGGTCGATTCCCCAGAAAATATGGGAAGGTATGGGAAGTGGTGGGGAAGACGAGATCCCATAATATATGGAAAGTGGCGGGGAATCCTTTTATTTGTGTGTATTTGTTTGTGTGTCCTGGGGCCCCTTCATAATTATAATGCCGCCGTAGGTACCTCGGTGGGGCGCGCGCAGCCACGGCGTTGAGGCCTGTCGGGCGTGGCGGCCTGTCCAAGCTGGCCTTTTCGCAGTCGGGCAAGCTGGCTGAAACCGCTGATGTATAGGGTGGCGACTCGCTGGTCGTCGGGGACCGCAATCGTTCTGTTGGATGAATGGAGGCCCCCGGGCTGCACTTTTGATCGGAGATGGTGAGTTTTCGCGGGGGCTCCGTGGAGCGGCCGTCCGAGAAGCGGTTTCAGCTCTCGGGGGTTCCTGGTCGCATGATGCATCCAGTTCGCACTTCTGGAGGTAATCCCCTCTTCTCCAATGACATCAAACCGTGCCATCGTAATGGGGTGCGATCACCCAGCGAGCCGACGGTACACGTGCGCATGGGAGCCCCGGAAGAAGACTGATCGGCTCGAACGGTCCGCGCCGTTCCATGCAGTAAAACAAGGAAGTTGTCAAAGACACCACTCGGGCTGCGCATCTGGGGAGATGATGGGCTCGATGTTATGGATGATCTGCGGCCTGAAATGTTGCTCCTCTGCCAGCATTAGGTCGGGCATGTCCCCTTACAGGCGGATTTTGGGAGAAACAAATACTCCAGAAATGCCTTAAAACAATCAAACAACAATCGAACAATTGTCTCCCGACTTTTTTGTGACAATTTTTGAATTTTCTTCCTGAAAAGGGACAGTGCCGGCTCAATGCCAGCATCTTGTCGCTCCAGTAGGCCGCCGTGGGCTCACGACCAGCGCGCGGAGATAAAAACGTACTGGTGGTGTCCAGCTCTCGGATCACAAACTACAGTCAACTAATATAGGAAGGATGCGCGATAAGGATGCAAGGGCCTTTGAAGGCCACGTGGAAGCTCTTCGAGCGGGGCGCGGCCAAGGAAAGTGGCCAAGGATGGGCCGAGGAGGCAAGGCTGCAAGGGTGCCCTTGGGACGGTTGCCCAACCTTACAACTCGGGTTGACTGTATTGCTTCTGCCGCAGCAGAGCCGTTTCTCTGGGAAAACTCTGCGGAGATTGCTGGGGCACTGACTGCCTTGAGTCTTCATGCGAGTCTGCCAATGGCGACCTGTCGGGACCAGCGTGGAGTTGCGTGGTAGGCTCATCCACAGATGGGGCATGGAATCTCGCCCAGCCTTCCCCAGATTTGAGAGCACACACGGGTTACTGCACGCACTTGATTGCCTCTGTCACTGGACCAGAGAACTGCGCGATGAAAAGCTTGGACGGGGGCTCAGCAGACTCGGCATTGCATGCACCCTCGAGGTCCGCATGCGTGGGCCAAGCTTCCGATGATTGCGCGGCAACCTCTGCCTGGAGAAGCTCGGAGGCTAAAAAACTGTAGTGCCGATGCCGCACTTGATCGTGCGGTCGTTCGGCTTCGGGTGTGGATGGGGCACGCTGAACGATGACCTACTCCTTGCGTCTCCTGCATCTGATGCAGGAGGTCGGAAAACATATCATCATGCCGTTGAAGTTTGGTTCCCTACTCGCCCAGGCGCTGTCCGAAATCGCCAACCTGCTCCTGGAAGCACTGCTCGGTATCGTCAAGTTCGGGACGGATATGTGCAGAGGCAGCAGCAGCTGCGTTGGCTGAAGCGTTCGTGGGCGCGTCGCTGAGCTGCTTGATGGCGAGGCCGATGGAGGGCGACACCTGCTGTCGCAGCACTCTTGGTGGAGATGGCGAACATCTCCTCGCATTTTCTTTGAACTTACCAAGCGTTTCACCACTGGGGGCTAGCTTCCTGAAGTGGTTGTCATCATAATCGTCCTGATCATCATCTACAGCAGTGCTTCCATCAACACGTTCAGACCTTGATCGATCATCATCATCATCATCATCATCATCATCATCATCATCATCATCATCATCATCATCATCATAATCTCTATAAGGTGGAGGATTTTTTGACCTTTGCGACCTTCGACCGTTCGTTCCGACGTTGAGCTGCATCGGGCATGTATTCAACGAATGAGACCTGAACAACCAAGACACGATAGCACACACCCCTGCCAGCAAGAGAACACTGCCGTAGCCCACGATAAGGAATCCCGCGCCTTGGACCAGAATGCAATGAACGAGTGGCCCCGGCAGCCTGCACTGCTGTAGCGGTGAGGATACAAAACCGAGAGTAACCCGCGGACCAGCGGTAGCCACGAGGCTCCCCCAGGAAACCAGCATCTTCAGCCAACGTGGCCACGGAGGTGATGTCGAAGAGGAGGAAGAGGAGGACGAGGACGAGGACGAGGAGGAGGGAGGGCTCGTTGGCTCCCTGGCCTGCCTGGCCCTCCCGTCTGCCTGTCGCGCGCCATTCGCGCGCCGCGCCCGCACCCTTCCGCAGATCACTCCCCCTTCCCTCCCACCTGCCGTCCTGAGCTCTCCACTCGCTAATCGGGAATCCGACGTCCTGTTGTTTTCACAACGGGGTTCCCCAAAGGCTTGGGCCCCTTTCCACGGACCAGCTTCCCACCCGGGCTGTTTTTTACGGCCCCCGAGGCCGGTGAGGGCCATGGGAGGCTGAAATTCATCAACGACCATCCGTTGTAGTTTCACCGACGCGGAGATGCCAGGGCTCGCCTGCTCTCTCCCACCGCCACGCCCTCTCCGCATCCCTCCCTCCCTCCCCCGGTGCCCTCCCCGCGGGGGGGGGAGGTGCGCGGCTTGCTCACAGTCACAGCTGCACGGCCCGGCGGCTCGTGCCTCCCGCCGAGCTCCCGCCCGGCGGCCTCAGGCAGGAGCAGAACTCCTCGAGGGGGCGAGCCAAGAGTACGACATCCGCCACCGCGCCTGCGTGCAGAAGATGGTGCGCGTCGGGCCACGCCGCCCTGTGCGGAAGAACCCTGAGGGCCCTCTGGCGCATCGAGCCCGAGGTGCGATCGATTTTGCGACCAGGTCCTTTGCCTCCCAGGCAGAGCATGGTCCCAGGATAAGCAGCTTGCTTGGGGAGGAGGGTGTCCGTGGACCGTCCCCGCTCCCCCCCCCTCCGCAAGGCACCCCCTCTCACCCCCTCGCCCGTGCGAGCGCGGTGGCGGAACCGGACCCCCGTTGCCGAAATCTCTCGGGGCCTCCCGCGTGCCCTCTGGGCTCCCCCGCGGCCTGTCGCGCGAATCTGTCGGGCCCGGGAGGGCTCCAAGACGGGCCGGGAGGTCGCCCCGAAGCCCCCGAGGCGGGCCAGTAGCGGGCCCCGAGGCGCCGAGGAAGTCGCTTTCAAGACGCCAACAACAGCTGCTGGAAGGTGGCCCCCCTCCGCAGGGCGCCCCCTCTCCCCCCCAGCCCGCGTGAGCGCGGTGGCGGAACCGCGCGGCAGCGCAACTGGACAGGCTTGCCCGCTCTTTGGGGGGCGCCCGCCCCAGGCCGGCTGGAGAGCCTGCGCACCCCGACGTGCCGCCAGAAGGGCATGAGCTTTCCAGCAGCCCTGTGGCCGGCGTGCCCGATGGGAGGGAAGCAGACTCGGCGGCGAGCGAGGGGGAGGGAGTGAGAAGGAGAAGGCCTTCGCAGAAGGCAGCGGGACCTCTCAGAAACCCTCTCGCGTTCTAAGAAGCCTTCGGTGTCTTCGGGGAAGGCTCGGGGCATTTTTCAGAAAGGCCGGGGGGCTTCCCAGCATTCTGAGCAGGCCGGGAAACTTCTCAGAAGGCTGGGGGGCAGGCGTCCCCGATGGCGGAAAACAGAATGTGATACACACCAGCTCAGGGTGAAAAACATTTTACGCTGAGAAAGTCAACTGCGCTCCAAACTCTCTCTGTCAGGCAGCAGTCCAGGTCCAGATGCACGAACATTTCACGAAGAAACAGAAGTTCCAGGATCATGTACAGGGTCCAGCCCAGATGCTTGATGTTCGTGGGCGACATTTGGAGTCCAACGGCAAGTTGCGCGTTTTCTTCGGATTTATGATGGGTGTCTCGTTCTTCGTCTGAGAGAACTGCGTGCTTTTGAAGCCGGATCCGGCTTGAGGGAACCACGTGCTTCTAGACCAGACCCGGCTTCAAAAGCGCGAGGGGTCGTCGTCGTCGTCGTCGTCGAGCTGCATCAGTGTCCCTCGTCCAGCTAACTAAAGCCGACTGCTCATGGGCACCGCGGAGCCTGGACTGTCCAGGGGTCCTTTGAAACCAAAAGGGAACGCATGGCCAAATACCGCTGCTAGGGCGCGCGCAGCGCCGGCAGTGGCACCTAGAGGAGGAGGAGGAGGAGGAGGAGGAGGAGGAGGAGGAGGAGGAGGAGGAGGAGGAGGAGGAGGAGGAGGAGGAGGTAGATAGAGCGGCATTGGGGGGCAAGGCAATGCATTCAGCCGCAAGGATGGGCCCCCGCCGTCGCCGCTCAGAGCGGCACCTTCAGTGTGATCACAGCGCCACGCACGCCGATCACCTTGCCGAACGAGGCGTAGTCGTGTCGGCCATCCATATTCACGAACTCGTAGTCAGAGCCCTGCCCACCGTGTAGCCAGCTCGTCCTCCGTGACTCCCGCTGGTGGTATGCCCTTCTTCACCATAGCTCCCACTGGGGGCAGCGCTCTGAAGGTGCTGTCCTTGGTGTTGCTCGGCTGCTTCTGCTCCTCTGGGGGATCCTCCTCGGCCTCCGCGTCGGTCAAGGGCCCCTGCTCGACGTGCAGTGTGATCTTCGCCTGGTTGCTGTCGTGGCACATGCTGATCTTCGGGTACTTCACTTTGTTGAGGTCAGTCGCCACACTGAACTGGTCCTTGATCGTCCCGTGCTCTGTGAGAAAGCTCTTGGTGGTGGCGCCCACGTCCTCGGAGCAGAGGGTCGAATTAAGCGAGTGTCCCTTGCCCGCCTCTGTGCACTTGTCCGCGTAGATCTTCCTGCAGGCTCGGAGCGCCTTGATCACCTTGGTCTGAGGCGGCATCGGGTACGAGCTGTAGACCGCGGAAACGTCCCAGGCGATCTGCTGAGAGTGGACCAGACCTTGCTTGATCGTCACCGTGAGCAGCTTCTTCAGCCTGGGGTCGCACTTGGTCTGGTAGGCTTCTCCTCCTCGTTGTTGGCGTCGTATGACTTCGCGACGCCACTGGGGCCAGCAGCCGTGAGCATGAGGTGGAGGTGGCCTCGGCTTGGACTTGCACTGAAGCTGCCTGTAGGAGCGGCGCCAGAAGGGGGGCGGCATGTGGAGTATGCGCAAGCCGAGGACCTTGGGCTTGCCGTTCTTCTTGTCGAGGGTGCGGCTCTGGCCGTGGTGGGCATGGAGTGGGGCGAAGCCGACGCGGTACGCGTGGTTGAGGACTGACTCGAAGCTCTCCAGCGCGAGGGGTGCCTCTGCGAGCTCGTCATCGTAGCCCACGCCAGTCGGCTTCGGCTTCTGCTTGGTGATGTAGGTGGGCAGGAAGGTCATCTGGAAGTTCTCTGCGGGCAATGGCTAGTCTGGCACTGAAGCACACTTCGTGAGGTAATTGAGCCGCTTGGTGACGCCTTCGAGTGCTCGCAGGTGTTGTCGTCGTGCTTCGTGTTGGCGTGTCTGCGTCTCGAGGAGACGTGCGAGGACCTCGATCTGGTACTCGGTCTCGTAGTTGGGGTCAGTCCCGATGTGTTCCTCTCTGAGCTTGGGGCGCGCCTGGAGTAGCCGCAGACGTTCCTTCATGAGCTGGTAGTGTAGGTCGAGCTTGGGCTTCAGGCGCTCGAAGAGGGGGTTGGCTGCCTCCTTCATGATGTTCACGATGAGCTCCCCGTGTTCGTCCGCTGCGCTGACCCCGAGCAACTGCTGCAGCTTGTCCTGGTGCTTGCCGAAGTTGAACTCCTGCGCGCCATCGAAGTCCTTGCGGTATTTGCCCTTCTGCAGGGCCAGGGCCACCTTGTCGTAGTCCCAGGCGTTCCTCTTGAGAGCGGTGACCACATTCGGGAACATGTCGTTGGCGGCTGTATTCTGGAGGACAGGGCCGCGCGGCACGTTGTCATTGATGAGTTGAGGTGCCTTGGCCGTTCGCCTCCCGACTCTGCAAGAGGTAGTGTGGGAGCGTAGACCGTGGGGCAATGCGGTGTAGTCGGGACGTGTGGCCTGTCCATGGGCACCGGTGTACAGGGGCCCCGCATTCCAGAAAATGTTCAGGATGCACCTGCCGTGCACGTCGGGCACGAGGTGGAAGGCAGCGGAGATCTCTCCATGTACGCCTGTAGGGCCTGCGTCGCCGCTCGCGTAGCTGGGCGAGTCGGGAAGCAATCCTTCCTGGCCGTCGTGGTCGTTCAGGTCTGGGCCGATGATCGGCGTGCTCCAGGTGGGTGTCGCGTTCTGGGTCTGGTAGATCCGCTTGAGTTTCTCGTTGATCTTCTTGATTCGAGCGTTGTGGTGCTTGGCGGGCCCTGACCGCGGTGGTAGCGACGACGCAGCAATGAAATTCGAATCGAGTCCTCCGCGACGAGGGCGAACTGCTCCAGCGCGTCCTTGAATGCTCGGCGGCGGGCGGGGGAGCGCGGTCACACACTTGATGCAGTAGCGGTTGCTGATGGTGTTGGCCACGCCCTCTTGATTGTAGGTGAAGGAGCCGCTGCCGTAGCCCCTCGTGACGATGCGGTGCTGGTAGGTCTGGAGCTGGTCGGCGGGGCGGGCTGCGCGCTGCCGCCAACGGGTGGCTGGTAACGTGATGACATCGCCTGCGCTGAACTGTCTCGACCTCTCCAAGCTTCTCGGTGCCGCACCCGTGCTGAGCGGGTTGTACACTCCCCAGCTCGGGAATGTCATCCAGAAGATCGCGAGAGATGAAATATGGATGGCCAGCCGCGCTGGCATGGCATGAAGGGTGCCCTGGGGGCGGAAGCTGCTCTGCGTGGGGTGCCTGCTGGGCCGCGAATAATGGGGCTAGAGCAGGAGACGGCGGCTGAGGAGGAGGAGGAGGAGGAGGAGGAGGAGGAGGAGGAGGAGGAGGAGGAGGAGGAGGAGGAGGAGGAGGAGGAGGAGGAGGAGGAGGAGGAGGCGGAGGGGAGGAGGAGGAGGAGGAGGAGGAGGAGGGAGGAGGAGGAGGAGAGGAGGAGGAGGGAGGAGGAGGAGGCGGAGGAGGGAGGAGGAGGAGGAGGAGGACGAGGAGGAGGAGGACGCAGCTCGCGCAGGCCCCCGCGGACTCCTCGGGTCGGCGCCGGGCCTCCGCCCCCCCCGCCGCGCGCGGAGCGCGAAGGGGGGGGGGGGGGCACGCCGGAGGCGCCGCCCACGGGCGCTCCCGACCTCGACAATGCTGTGTGCGTGCAGCTGTTTGAGGGGGGCGTCGCCACCGGGTTCCTGCACAAAGCGTTCCTTTGCAAGCATGTCGTTTTCGGCACCGCCTGATCCCGAGGCTTTGCCTCCTCCTGGCCTCGCCGTGAGGCTGCGCTCCTTCCCTTCCCCCCCTCTTTGTTATTTCAAGCTTCGCGCGGCCCGCTTAGCTTCGACCGGAAGAGGTGCGCTCTCGACCCGCGAATAAAAGAAAAGAAGCTGTTGGAGGGGGGCCCAGGGGCACACAAACAGCTGGACACCACTCCCAGGATTCCCCTTTATCAAAAGAAATCTGTTTTCTGGGTTCTCGTCTTCCCCCCCCCACCCCACCCGCACTCCCCATATATTTTCCAACCCCTTCCTGGGGGTCGACGCTTCCTTGCGTCTGCATGTTTTTCCCCTCCTGATTCTTACAGCTGTTTGAGGGGGGCCCAGGGACACACAAATCCGCCGATCCGGCGTGTGAGTTTCTGAGAGCGTGGACTTGAGCTCGCTCAAGCTTCGCTCTGCAGGGGGGGGGGGGTACGTTATTTCCGACGGCATTTCCGACGTTTTTCGGTACACGGGGATGTTTCCGACGTCATTTCCGACGTTTTTCGGTACCCGGGGACAGGGGGGTATAGAAAACTCCACTTCTGGAGCCCCCCCGGATCGGCGGCACTGGCCGGAGGCCATCCCAATAGATGGACACCACTCCCAGGATTCCCCTGATCAAAACAAGCATGTGTTCTGGGTTTTCGTCTTCCCGCCCCCTCCCCCACCCGCACTCCCCCATATTTTCCAACCCCTTCCTGGGGGTCGACGCTTCCTTGTGCCTGCAGGTTTTTCCCCCTCCCGACTCTTGCTCCCCGAGATCGCCCTGGAGCATCGCGGAAACTCGCGACCAGAGGCCTGGACACCGACTTGCTGCGGGCCGGATCGGGCCGCGAGGGGCCCGGGCGCCCGACGCCTGGCGAAGACGCCCCGCGGGGGAACGTCGCAGCGCCCAGAACCCCGTGTTTTCTGTCCTGCTCCCCCACGGGGCTGTGGCGGAAGGGCTCTTCTTTCCTCGTTTGTGAGAAGAGGCGGTGGGCTCGGCGTCGTCAATGAGAGGCCTTGCTCAGGCATTTCCCGGTTGCCCCCTTTCCCCATTGCCAGGGGTGCGCAGATTGCCCAGTCGCGCATCGCCAAGAGAGGCCAAGCAACGATTCCAAGCAACGACTCCCAGCAGTGCCGAGCAACGCCAACGAGCTCCGCCGACCCCCGCTTGCTGGGGGTGGGAAGGCACGTGAGATCGTTGGCTGCTCCCTCTCCTGGGGCCAAACATTGCAATAGAGAGGGTGGGGGGGGGCTCGGGGGGGAGCCACAAGGGGGGAGGGGGGGGGCCCAGGGCTCTCTGGAGCCTCCAGACGGCCCCCAAGACGGCCCAGTGAGCGCCGAGACGATCCGAGAGAGTGCTGAGACGCCCCAAGGTAACCCCGCGACGGTCCAAAGTGGCTTCAAGACTGCGTGCGAGGCCCCCAAGGCGACCCAAGAGTGCTCCCGGAGAGCCGCCCACAGGGGGCCCCAGGAGGCAGACATTGCCCCGTTCCCTCCGGGACACGTGCGTTTTAACATGCGCGCCTTTTTCGTCTGACAGCGTCCACTGCGGCCCAAGGAGCACCCCAGATCGTCCCACGACGGTCCATAGGCCTCCACGACGGCCCCAGAGGCCTCTAAGACGGCCCAAGGGTGCCCCAAGAGGGGCAATACGACTGGTCATCTCGAGTCCTTCCCGCCGTGATGGCCCCAAGAGACCCCCAGTGACCCCCGAGGCGCCCCCAAGATACACCAAGAGGCTTTCAAGAGGCTGTCAAGAGGCCCCCGAGAGGCCCCCAAAATGCCACTCAGATGCCCCCAAGAGCCCTACAAGAGCTCCCTGATAAGCATTCCAGGAGACCCTCACATGTATCGCCGAGGCTTCTGACCCACAGGCCAGGCACAGTGGCACGACTCTTGACGAATTCACTGCGATGGGTGTCGGCGGAATGGCGTAAGCATCTTGAACATTCCAAGCAATGCCAAGCAACGCTTCGCCTTGCTCCGCCTTGCACTACAATCAGAACTGCCTCGAACTGCCTTAAACGAAAAAGAATACTCCCAATCCCATACATGCGGCAGCTCTTATTTTCCTCGATGCGTGGACCCTCGGAGGTCTGGACAACGTCCTCAGGGCCATTTTTTCATCCCGAATAGCTTCTGGACGGCCCCATCCTTGAGGAGGGCCCCCGGAGGGCAACGGTTGCCAAACACCGACCGCTTCAAGTGGTTCGGCACCTCGGACCTCCCCGAGATCCGACGTCTCGGAAGGATTGAAATCTCGTGAGAAGTCGCGACCAGAGAATCAGACTCCATCTCTTTGCGCGTCCTTTTCGGAGCCGGAGCGATCCGTGAGGGCTTATAGGGTCCGAAGCCCGGCGACAACGCCAAGTGTGTTGTGTTGCTCCCATCGTACTTGAGGACCACATCCCAGAAACAAGTTCGAGCACCCGGAAAAGTGTCGAAGGAATGTCGAAACAGTGTCGGGCGAGTGTCTCCCAGGGCCCGGCACGTGAAAAAACGCTCGAGCTTCGGTATTTTTTCCTGGTGCTCGAAATGCTTCCTGGCGATCAAGGCTCTAAAGTAGGCTGGAACAGCATAACCGGTGTGAAGACATTTCGGCACCAGGATCTCAGGGCTCTGGGATGGGGGCCGCGCCAGTTTCAGCCGATCCTCGGGCGGCAGCCACTTGTCCCCGCGGGCGTCCGCGCCCATCTGGATGCAGACGTGCACCGCACCTCGGGGCAGGGGCCGACCGCCCTGGCGTTCCTGCAGGCCCACCCCGAGATGCTCCTAGAACCAAAGACTGTGCAGTGCTCTGGGAACGTGTATGTAGAACACCCATGCGTAAACACACGACGCTCTCAGCCAGAACTGTCCTGAGAACGTGCCGTGCCAACCGCAAAAAAGAACTGCTCTCGGCACATTCCGGGAATGGACAGGACCCTCTGTACTAGCAAAACGTGGTTTCGTGGATACGACCTCGGGCCCGCCCCTGGGGGGCGCAGGAGCCCGAAAACTGCTGGACCCGCGGCGCCCTCTCGAAAAAACTGAAAAAACTGAAAACTGAATCGGCGTGTCAGGGTGGGGGTTTTCTGTCCACCCCCGAACATTCTTTGGTTATGTCGGGCCTGTCCCCCTCTACAGGGGGATTTTCGACGAAAATTAAAGAATACCCCAACAATAATCAAAAAATAGTCCAAAAATAATCCAGGGACTATTTTTTGAGTATTTTTGGACCTTCTCGGAATATTTTTGGGGTATTTTTTGTTTTTCGTCGAAAATCCCCCTGTAGGGGGACAGGGCCGACCTAATTCTTTGGTGGGCCTCTCTGCAAGCCGGGGGCGCTTCGCCACTGCCCGAGCACCTGGGGGCAGCGCCTCGCCCGCGTCGGTCCTGCCGGCGCGGAGCGCGAGCCGCACGAGGCGCCCGGGCAGCCAGGCGCGCCGGCTCCGCGAGAGCACGGAGACGTCGCCGGCGACGGCGGCCAGGCCCGGCGGCCCCGCTGCGGGCCCTGCAGATTTGGACTGGCCGAGCTCTGGCCATCGCTCGGACGTCCATTCCCTGTGTTTTTTATTTCCAGTTTCGTGCGTTTTTTTTTTTTTTTTTTTTTTTTTTTTTTGTTTTCTCCCCCTCCGCCAAATGATCAAGGATGCTCCTCGAGATGGTCCTCGCCGGAGGAAAAATGCACACGTCCGAGCAATGCCAGGAGCCAGGCACGGTCGCGTGGGAAGTAAAAATATCAGGGCGGGCGGTGTTTGGCGCACTTTTTTCGGCCTTGGGGGGCCCGCGCCGAGCCTCCGGGCCGCCACAAGACGACTCAGGCTGAGAAACGGGTTCCTGGGAAAGGGTCGGGACTTCCAGGGACCCCGTATTGGAAAAATCAGGGCGTCGCATGTCTGGGGAGACGGGCACTCTATCAGAACCCCTTCAGATCTTGGCGTTGCAATTTTTTCGCGCCGGGCGTTTTCGCCCAGTTTCGGGCCCCTGGACCCCCACAGATCGATCAGGCTCGAAAAGCGTCGCAGAAAGGTGGGGTCTAGGGTTCCGGTCGTGGTTCTGCACGATGTTGCATTTTTTTCGCAACGTCGGATCTCAGGGATGGACGGCCGAGACGGGTACGGAGAACATGGGTACGATGCCCGACAGCAAAGGTTGTCCAAACAACGGCCGCTGTTGGACAGCCAGCCGCGTGTCACAAATGGACAACATCCGCGGGGACATCGACAGCGAGCTGGGCGCAAAATGAGCAGGACCTGCTGCCAATCTCCGTACCTATTCTTTCCGTACCCATTTTGATCGTACCGACTAGAGGCTTCCCAGATGGGGTCGGAGTAGATGGGGTCGGATGATCGCGCCGCATCGCCGATGCATCGTCGATGCACCCGCGACTTCGGCGATACGTCGGCGACGTCGGCGTTGAGAAAATCGGGCTCCACATTGAGCCGCATCGCCGAAGCATCGGCCGTACGGGGCGATCCTCCGACCCCATTTATTCAGACCCCATCTGGGAGGCCTAGACCCTCGCAGGCGACGAGATGATGAGGAGAAAATGGGGATCACGCAAGCCGAAAGTCACTTGCGCGCTTCTCTGGCCCAGCACCGAATGGAAAGGCGGCGAGGGGGGGCGGGACGCAAATGCCATGCAAACAAAAACTTGCCAGAGTAGAGACGAAGCAAGGCTCACGCTGACCTGACAAAAGACTGCCCCTGGGGGAGGGGTCAGGACCTCCGAGGCCTTGTAGTGAACACATCACAACGTGGGATGTCCGTGGGCCTCCTTCACACGGTCGGAGCGTCTCGCCGAAGTCTTCTGGCGGCACGATCTTCGTCATCGCGGGCTCTCCGGGCGGCTGGAAGCGCACCCACACGGCGCCAGCTGGCGCCGGCGGCTGTGCTGCCGCCCCGGGGTCCTCTGCCATCCTGCCGGCGCGGACGACCAGCGCCAGGATGTCCCCAGGGAGCCACTTGCTCCTGTCCGGGGTGTGCACGGCCCCCCCCCTTTCTGTTGCAAACGAAACGAGGGCGGGCGGGCGGGTGCAGGCCCAGAAGCCCTGGGGCGGCTACACGCCCTCTCGAGAGCCGAGAGAGGGCGGTCCGCGGATCGATCGACTCGACTTGGCAAGGTGTGGATTGCATGCGCCCCCGATCCTGCTCTTGGAGAAGACGAGCAGCCTCCCAGAGACCGCCACCATGACCGCAGCCCCTGCCGCCTCCGTCTGCGACGCGGGCGACGGCGGCGGCACGTCGCTCCCTGGGCTCAGCCCGACCCAGGGCGGGTTCGGCAACGCAGGCTCGGCGAGGCTCCGCGGGTCGGCCGTGCTCACCGGGTGCAGCTCGAAGCACCCGCCGCCCTCGCTGCCCTGGCGCAAGTCGCCGCGGATGGTGCCATCGGCGCCGCAGGTTCCGCACAGGGTCGTGGTGCACTGGCCGTCGGTGTTGACGATGCGCACCTGTCGGGCGTTGCTGGAAGTGCCCTAAGCCAAATGTGCCCCCAGGATTTCCAAGGAGGCCCCCACAGCCTCCAGAGCACCCCTCACGAGGCCCAGAGGGCCGCAGGGGGCTCCAAAATTGAGCGAAAAGCTGGGAGCACCTCGGTCCATGGGGCACCTGTGGCAACCCCCGGGCCTGGTTCTGCCCCATCAGCTCGATGCTCACTGGCTCGACCTGGTCCAGGACGAACCACTCGCCGCACCACCGGCCGCCCTCGCGGTCGACTCTCAGCTCCAGGGGGACGCGCTCGCCGAGCACCCGATGAGACAGCGACCCGACGTACGAGGAGGCACCCCTTGGCAGCGGCAGCACGGGGGGTCGGCCAGGGCCAACCGCCAGGTTTGCCTCCTGCCGGAAGCTGAAAGTCACGACGGGCGGGTCGGCCTCCGTGGGGGCGTCGCAGGCAGCGGGTGGCGCGGCCGCAGAGTCGCGGGCCGCACAGGCGGCGCCGCGCGCCTCCGCCTCTGGGCTGCCCGCGGGTGCCGAGGCAGGCGGCTGGCCCTCCGCAGCGGGGCCCTCCGCCGGAGGCGCGACGCTGGCGAGCCCACCTAGACGAGCAGCAATAGTTTCACAAACATAGACTTTCGGGGCTCCGCGCGGATTTCTCGGGTCGGCGCCGGACCCCCGTCGCTGGCGCGCGAAGCGCGCCAGGGGCGGTGCCAGAGGCGCTGCCAGAGTCTATATGCCGCTTTTCCTTTCCATATGTCCTGACCTCTACAGGTACCACCGGCACGCAGCTGCCTTGTGTGTCCCTTGCGCGTGGCATGAGAGCACTGCCCTCCCTGCACAGACCCGAGCCCGGGCCCGCCGAGCAACCACCCACGTGAGCGACGAAAGTCAAAGTCTTTCGCAAGAAGATACCGCGACCTTACGCCGCAGCTTACGCGGGCCGCCAGCGTGGCACGCCACTGGAAGCGAGGGCGCTTACGCGCTACCCGACGCGAGCAACTTACGCGCGAATGTCTGCGCAATCGAGCCAGTTGTTTGCGTCGCTCATAAGCTACTGCCTGGTGGCCTCTGACAGTGTACGTCTTCGCCGATATTTGCTCCTCGCCCACCGCTGCCAGGCTGCCCGCCCAGCAGTCCCGTGCTGTGCAGCTCCTCTGGCCCCGGCCGCTCTTCGGGCTCCCTGCGGAGCAGCGCCCGCAGCGTTCTCAGCACGGCTGGGGAATAGCTGGCCTCGGCGGCCGCGGGGACCGAGAAAGTGGCGTTCAGGTTCGCCAGCCTGCCCTCCGCGGGGAAGGCGTGCACCGCGAAGAGCGCCTGTAGGACTGGACGGAGCCCAGACCCCCTCGCGTCGTGGCAGAAATCACGACGGGAGGTGTTTGGCCTCACCAGGCCGCGGGACCGTCAAAGTACTGCTCGGGGTGAAACGATGGTCCCCAGGAAGGGGTCCAGACCTCTGGGGGCTCCACGTCGTGACTGCGATCATGACGTCGGGGGCATGGGGACAGGGTAGTAGTAGTAGTAGTAGTAGTAGTAGTAGTAGTAGTAGTAGTAGTACTAGTAATCGTAGTAGTAGTACTCGTAGTAGTAGTAGTAGTAGTAGTAGTAGTAGTAGTAGTAGTAGTAGTAGTAGTAGTGGTAGTAGTAGTAGTAGTAGTAGTAGTAGTAATAGTAGAAGTAGACGCAGTAGTAGTAGTAGTAGTAGTAGCAGCAGCAGCAGCAGCAGCAGTAGTAGTAGTAGTAGTAGTAGTAGTCGAATTCGTAATAGTGAAATGAAGAATAGTAGTCGTAGTCGTAGTAGTAGTAGTAGTAGTAGTAGTAGTAGTAGTAGTAGTAGTAGTATAGTAAGTCGTAGTAGTAGTAGTCGTAGTAGTAGTAGTAGTAGTAGTAGTAGTAGTAGTAGTAGTAGTAGTAGTAGTAGTAGTAGTAGTAGTAGTAGTAGTAGTAGTAGTAGTAGTCAGTAGTAGTAGTAGTAGTAGTAGTAGTAGTAGTAGTAGTAGTAGTAGTATTCGTAGTAGTCGTAGTAGTAGTCGTAGTAGTAGTAGTAGTAGTAGTAGTAGTAGTAGTAGTAGTAGTAGTAGTAGTAGTAGTAGTAGTAGTAGTAGTAGTAGTAGTAGTAGTAGTTAGTAGTAGTAGTAGTAGTAGTAGTAGTAGTAGTAGTAGTAGTGGTAGTGGTAGTAGTAGTAGTAGTAGTAGTAGTAGGAGTAGTAGTAGGGGTAGTAGTAGTAGTTGTAGTGTAGTTGTAGTAGTAGTAGTAGTAGTAGTAGTAGTAGTAGTAGTAGTAGTAGTAGTACTAGTAGTATAGTAGTCGTGGTGGTGGTGGTAGTAGTCGTAGTGGTCGTAGTAATCGTAGTAGTAGTAGTAGCAGCAGCAGCAGCAGCAGTAGTAGTAGTAGTAGTAGTAGTAGTAGTAGTAGTAGTAGTTAGTAGTGGCAGTCGTAGTAGTAGTAGTAGTAGTAGTAGTAGTAGTAGTAGTAGTAGTAGTAGTAGTAGGATTAGTAGTAGTAATAATAGTAGTAGTAGTAGTAGTAGTAGTAGTAGTAGTAGTAATAGTAGTAGTAGTAATAGTAGTAGTAGTAGTAGTAGTAGTAGTAGTAATGGAAGTAGTTGCAGTACTAGTAGTGGCAGTCATAGTAATAGTAGTAGTAGTGGCAGTGGTAGTAATAAGAGTAGTCCTAATAGCAATCGTAGTAGTGGCAGTCGTAATAGTAGTAGTAGTAGTAGTAGTAGTAGTAGTCGTAGCAGTTGTTGTAGTAGTAGTAGTAGTAGTAGTAGTAGTAGTAGTAGTAGTAGTAGTAGTAGTCGTAGCAGTTAGTTAGTAGTAGTAGTAGTAGTAGTAGTAGTAGTAGTAGTAGTAGTAGTAGTAGTAGTAGTAGTAGTAGTAGTAGTAGTAGTAGTAGTAGTAGTAGTAGTAGTAGTAGTAGTAGTAGTAGTAGTAGTAGTAGTAGTAGTAGCAGCAGCAGCAGCAGCAGCAGCAGCAGCAGCAATAGCAGTAGCAGTAGTAGTAGTAGTAGTAGTAGTAGTAGTAGTAGTAGTAGTAGTAGTAGTAGTAGTAGTAGGCAACGGCACGCCCTCCACGCCTGGGCCGCCGCACGATTTCCGAAGGATTCCCGCAAGATGCCCCATGAAGTCTCAGGAGGCTCAGACGGCCCCAGGAGAGCCCAGGAGTCACCAGGAGGCCACCAGGATGCCAAAGGAGGCGCCAGGAGGCCCCAACAGGCCAGGAGACCCCAGGATGCTTCAGGAGGCCCCAGGACGCCCCAGGACGTTTCAGGGAGTTCCGAGCGTGTCCAGGAGCTCGCAGGAGGCCGCAAGAGCTTCCAGGACGTCCCACGAAAGGTACGCAGGAGGTCACAGGAACCCCAGGAGGCCCCAGGAGGCATCAGAAAACCACAGGAGGCCCCAAGAGGCCCCAAGAGGCCCCAGGGAACTCCAGGAGGCCCTCAGGATACCAGAGGAAATATCAGGAGGCACCAGGAGACCCTAGGAGGCACCAGGAGGCTCCAGAAGGCACCCAGGAACCCCCAGGAGGCTCAGGAGGCCCCAGGGGGCTCAGGGACCCCCAGGAGGCTCAGGAGGAGGAGGAGGACGAGGACGAGGAGGAAGAGGAGGAGGAGGAGGAGGTGGAGGAGGGGGAGGAGGAGGAAGAGGAGGAACAAGAGAAGGAGGATGAGGAAGATAATGAGGATGAGGAGGGAGGAGGAGGGCGAGGAGACAGGACTATGGACTATGGACTATTGATTGGCCTGCCTCCGAAGAGGCAGATCCGAAAAGAGAAGAAGGTGAACACACACACACAGGCGGTGGCTGCCGCTTCAGGCAGCAGGCGGAGCAAAGCAAGGGCCGCACGTGCCAACAAAAAATGGCCCCCTTTACCCCGCCGGCGTCAAGAATATCGCATTCAACAACATCTCAGCAGCCTGACTGGGTCTAATGGGTATCAAATATCGCATCATAGTCGTGAAGGCCGTCACCGTTGAGCAGCTTACCGTGTGAAGCTGGCAAGGTGGGGAACCCACGCAAGCTGGGGGTCCACAGCAGCTAAATCCCCTAACTCGTGATGCAGTCGGAGAGTGGCAGGGACGACAGGTCCCAGCGAAACATTGCGCCTAGGGTCAAGCCCGTCCAGCAGGCGGCCCAATCGATCGCGGCCTGTTCTGGAAGCCGCATGTCTGTATATTTATATGATTGTCTATCTCTCGGAATGTATGTATATATATATATATATATATATATGTCTGCCTCCCTGATTGTCTGTATAGTTCTCTGTTTACCTGTCGGATCTATATTTCAGTGTATGTGTCTGTTTGTCTATGTGTTTGTTTATTGTTATGCCTGTCTGTCTATATGTCTGCCTATATATATATACGCCTGTCTATCTATTTGTCTACTTATATATATAGAAATGTGTGCCTATCTATATGTTTATCTGTCTGTCCGTCTCTACATCTGTCTGTCTGTCTATATGTCTACCTCTCTGCCTGTCCATGTTTATATGTATAGTTATATGTCTGTCTATCTGTATGCCTATACAGACGAGGAGGAGGGGGGGGATGTGAGGAGGAGGACGAGGAGGACGAGGAACTACCTATCTGTCTATACATCTTTCTGTCTAGCTGTCTGTCTATATATATATATGTCTATACGCATGTCTCTCTATATCTATGTCTGTCCATCTATATGTCTGTGCATTTTTTTGCTTGTGCCTTGACTTTCTCTTGCAACGCGGTAGCTTGTGGGCATCGCATTTCATGGTACGTTGATGTTCTATTTCGTCATGGTAGCTTGATGCCATCTCGTACCACGGTACATTAATGCTATCTTTTATCATGGTAGCTTGATGGCATCGCATACCATGGTACATTGATGCTGTCTTGCAACATGGTAGTTTGATGTCATCTTGCAGCAGGTTAGCTTAATGCCATCTTGCAACGTGGTAACTTGATGCCATCTCATGCTACGGTACCTTGATGCTATATTATCTCATGGTAGCCTGATAATATCTCATTCCACGGTACCTTGATACTATCTTGTTCAATGGCAGTTCGGTGACATCTCATTCCGCGGTACCGCGATGGTACGTTGTCTCATGGTAGCTTGATGCCACCTTACAATAGTTTGCGGCGGCCCAGGCGTGGAGGCCGTTTCGCGAGCAGAGCCTCGCACCCTCCACAAACACCCCTCCACCGTTCCTCTCCTCTTTCTTTTTTTTTGTTGGGTTTTGCGCGCCCCGGGGGTCCCAACGGTCACCTTAACGTCTCCCCACTGAAAAACCTGAGGCGTGGAGAATGTGCCGTTCGCGGGGGTGATGGGCGTGCCGTTGCCTAGTAGTAGTAGTAGTAGTAGTAGTAGTAGTAGTAGTAGTAGTAGTAGTAGTAGTAATAGTCTTAGTAGTAGTAGTAGTAGTAGTAGTAGAAGTAGTGGTAGTAGTAGTAGTAGTAGTAATAGTAGTGGTGGTAGTGGTCGTGATAGTAGTAGTAGTAGTAGTAGTAGTCGTCGTCGTCGTAGTAGTAGTAGTAGTAACAGTGGAAGTAGAAGCAGTCGTAGTAGTCAAAGTAGTAGAAGTCACAGTAGCAGTAGTAGTAGCCAGCATAGTAGTAGCAGTAGTCAAAGTAGTAGTAGTAGTAGTAGTAGTAGTAGTAGTAGTAATAGTAGTAGTAGTAGTAATAGTCGTCGTAATAGTAGTAGTAGTAGTAGTCGTGATAGTAGTAGTAGTAGTAGTAGTAGTACTAGTAGTAGTAGTAGTAGTAGTAGTAGTAGTAGTAGTAGTAGTAGTAGTAGTAATAGTAGTAGTGGCAGTAGTCCAAGTAGTAGTAATAGCAGTAGCAGTAGTAGTAGTCAACAGCAGTAGTAGTAGCAGAAGTCGAAGTAGTAGTAGTAGTAGTAGTAGTAGTAGTAGTAGTAGTAGTAGTAGTAGTAGTAGTAGTGATAGTAGTGGTAGTCAAAGTAGTAGTAGCAGTAGTACAAGCAGCAGTCAACGAATTAGTAGTAGCCAAAGCAGTAATACAAGTAGTAGTCGCAGTAGTAGTAGTCAAAGTAGTAGACGTAGTAGTCGTGGTAGTAGGAGTAATAGTAGTAGTAGTAGTAGTAGTAGTAGTAGTAGTAGTAGTAGTAGTAGTAGTCGTAGTAGTAGTAATAGTAGTAATGGTATGCCTAGTTTTAGTAATCATACCTGTTGTAGCGGTAGTAGTAGTAGCAGTAGTAGTAGTAGTCGTAGTCGTAGCAGTCGTAGTGGTAGTGGTAGTACTAGTAGTAGTCGTAGTCCTAGTCGTAGCAGTAATAGTAGTAGTAGTAGTGGTAGTAGTAGTAGTAGTAGTA